TTACATGCAAAACTTTAGTAAAATCTAGTTATACATCTAGAAACATCGAAGGAAAAAACTATCAAGTTAGTAATTAATCGATAATCGAATGATTTTTGCCCATCCCTAGTGCAGAGAGGAAGAGGGAAGTTACATATATTTCTCTTTTTAATTTTTATTAATTAAAGACTCGCTTGAGAAGAGAAGATATCCTCTTAAGAGAGTTCGGTACTAAATAACGTCGCGTTCCCTCGCGACCAAAATTTTACTACCGCGCAGTACGGCAGAAAACCTTAACGTAACTTTAATTAAGAAGATATTTCGGAATGTCGAAAGCAAATTATTAGTCGCGGCGGCGTTAAGCACAGACGAAACCGCCGTCGAGTAAGTCCCTCGCTCGTGTCCCCCCACAAGAGGCGATTCAATTTTTCACAATCATCGTAAACAGGCCCCAAAGGACGCAACAGCTACCGAAATGGTCGCCCCGATGGTTTTGGGGAGCCCATCGAAGATTCCCGGGGCCCCGATGGTATCCCCTAAGGGAAAGCACGGGAATCAAATCTAAATGAAAGATCTGCTAAAGGGAGGACGAGAAGAAAAGGGAAAGAACGTGAAAGAGAGAGAAATAAAATCTCTTTCGGCGTTCCACGGACACATCATAAGCAGCAGGTAGTGGGAGGCAGAGGAATGAGAGAAGAAAGAGAGAAGAGGCAGAGTATAGAACTATCTCTCTCCCGGATCTCAATCTAAAGACTCCAAACATATTTTCTCGAGTTTAGCGTCGGGCTCCTTCCATTGGTCGTGGAATCTCTCCGTCTCTGCAGCTTGATCTTCCTTCTTCCATCTCTTTCAGCCTCATGTAGGCACACATACATATATACTGTCTCCTCTTCCTATCTCTCTTGCTCTACCCGTCCTCTTCTCGATTTCTTCTACCTGTTCGCCGCGTTCTCCGAGATCAAAGCACGCCGACGCCAGCAGCCCGGTCCGTGGGGTGTCATCCGAGATGAAGGGTGGGAACCGGCGGTTGCAGGAAAGGTCGGGGGAAGAGGGAGGAAAAAGGCGAGATAGGGCAGGAAAGGTGGCCATACAATATTCATTAATGTAAAGGTATGGTCGCTGGGGGTACTTTTCTCGAAGGATGAATTGAGCATCGGTCTGGCGCGTATCGGTATAAATCATAGAGCGTCTGTGTGAGACCTTCGATCGAGGCCCCGGTTGCCCGACCGTGTATAATGACTTTACATGTTAAAAAAAAAAAGCTAAGTGCTTCTCGGGAAATAAGAGACAGATTTTTGTACGAACAGTTTTATGTACGAAGGTCAAATAATGAATTTTTTTTAATGTTTAAAAAAGTGTATAATATATATTTCTTATATCAGATCTCCTTTTCTTCTTGTTTTAACGACGACTGAGACTGGTGAACGACACACCATAAAATTCGTAAAACGCATACGAGATGAACAGATACGATACGATCGCTTAGGACGACACAAAGACTCTACGGTGAAAATTATTTTCCAAGTTAAGATCGCGCGGGAAAACGAAGAAACGTTCGTGTTTTTTTTTTTCAGTCGACCCTACATTAAACAAAAAATCCGCTATCAATTTCCCGGCATCTGACTTGCTGTCAGAAAAGATTATACGACTCGATCCTTCATTCTTTATCTTGTCACGCGAATTATCCAATTATTTACAATATACTAATTTAACGACAAGTTCTTTGAAGTTTGTTAAAAATAATCTTTTTATATTCATATCAATTCTCGTAATTTTTCTTACATTATTTCATCGTATCTATCTTTTGCGAAATATCGCGAGGTGTTAAGTGATAAAAGAATATTTCTGCAAGGTATGATGGAGCAGTAATAAAAAAATAACGCGATATTAAGCCTCAATATTAAAGTAATGGGTGGACCTCATTAAATTCGTGTTTATTTGCTTATCAAGCAATTAAATGGAAAAGGACCCCCTCAACTGTGTTATCGAGAAGCCAGTACCGATATAATGATGATAATGCACGTTTTTCACGTATCTCCTCGCACTTTTAAGAATTCATTATTTCCATTTTCTTTTTTTTTTTTTTAAAGGAAGACGCTAATCAGTTCGCCTCCATTATGAACCAATGTATCATAACATTCATAACACATATAGTTTAATGGAAAATGCAAGCAATTGTGAAATATATATCTTTCTAATAATCTCCTCTTTAATTGTATTACGGTAAAACGCGATCGTTTTTCCATGAGATTGAGAACCGTTCGTGTGGATAGCAACAGGTGGATCTTGATACTGATAAGTGAATAAGTGTGAACTTGTTTACTTCAAACCAGCCAGACATGCGGATTCCAAGTCGCGACGAGATTAGATTGTCGTTCAATCAACACCCCGAAGATGAAACGTTGTTATTACAGACGATATTTCATTCTCGAGATATTTCTCAGATAACTTACGAAATTACCCTTACTTGAATTTTATATGAAAATTTGATAAAAAAAATTTTAAAAAATGTGTAATTATTGGGACGATTATTATTCCGCCATATTATCATCATATTATTAATCAGAGAACCGATGGTCGAAAAGAGCCGCGGCTTAAGGGAGATCATTCTCATAGATCATTAGATCCATCTTCCCTTTGTGATGTCGAAGGAAGTCGACGGGTTTCCCTGATTTTTGTTCGCGAAGCGTCAGCCGCGATCTTCTATGAAAAAAACGGAACAAAGCTCGCATCTGACTTTTTATCTGTGAAGATGATGAACCATTATCTCTCATGTGGGGCATTCGTTTGTCTGTTGTGTCTACGAGAAATATACTTTCTTCTCGGAACAAAGTGGTCTTTATAAATCGCTTTTGGCATTACGATTTATAACCAGGAATTAAATACCTTAATTAATGACGTCGTTAATAACTGCATACGTATTTATGACCTCGGATGATATAACGCAGTAAATAAGTGAAATGGCAAGAATAATTAGACAATTTTTCTCGTTTTCTAAATATAAATCTCTAGTGTATAAACTAATATATAATATAAAGAGATAAATGAATAAACAAATTTTCAGATTATGTGTATCTATTGCTTTTCTTTAATATTTAATTTCATATTTTTTATTGCTGGAAATATTATTTTTTTCGAAATATCTTTAATAAGTTTTTCTTAATACATTAAATTTTTATATAGTACTTAATATATTTATTTTTTTAATATATTTAATTGTTTAATATATTTATAAATATAATTAGTGTAGATACATGTAAGAAGAAATAGTCTTCTCGAATTATTCTGCTCGAATAATAGGATATTCAAATAAAGGAACATTCTCTCGAAGATTTGAATAGCATAGTGTACTTTGGATAACAATAATTCCAACATGTCATCAAGAATGAAAATAAAGTCGCCTTGACCGGCTGTTTCAGTGACTGATGACGATGTGTGGCTTCGAAAGATTTAGTGTCGGCCAAAGTCGTTCTCGAGATTAGCGTGTTAACCCCAAGTATTTAGATAAGGTCTGAAAACTTGATTCATGTTTATGAAAGTGTGACCACCTATCGCGTTTGTACGAGATTACTCAAGTGCAAGCGTAGTCGCTGCAAATAAATGATTTACAAATCGAATATTATATAATAATGGAATTTTTCTTTCTCCATCATCGCGAATCGATGATAGAGTATGTTAATCCCTCCATTTTTTTTCTTTCGCGTCTACATTCGTGGACTCCGTTCGATACGTCAAGAAGAACGCAGATAATCGAGAATATCGCTCATGTGGCATATACCATATATCTGTATCGTCAGAAATATCATATATCTCGCGTTGTCTAATAATCCCGCCGATCTCTGTGCGGTCACGTGACCCACTCGAACGAGATCATCATTGTCGACGCGTGCTCGACCAATTTATAAAACTCGCGTCTTCAGGGTCACGCATTTGTTGTTCTTCATCCGTCCAGATATCGCCGATCAGCGATGCTTCTTTTTAATTGTCGTTTCTTTTAAGTGCCGCGAGCAATCGCGCCTCCTCTCGTCATCTTATTAATTGCGTCATCGCGCCAGGAACGTGCTCGAGACCATGTGACAGTGACCTTCACCGGAGATCGTCGTCGGTCTTTCGAAACGGCGACAAGCCGGTCGCTTCCTGATGACGACGAGGACCCCCACTCACGGACGCCGACGACCGTCGTCCAGGGACGCTGTCGTCATTTTCGCGAGAGAGCGCGTGATCTTGCCGCCGGGAAGAAGAAATTACCAGGCCACCACGTCGGGCCGGTCTTGTTGATTCAGCTTGCAGCCTGCCAATTCGCACCGACGTGCTAATATACGCCAGATAACGCGTCGCCCAGTTGTGAAAGGGAGATATGTGCGTGGACTTTGTTCCCACCCGCGCATCTTTTACTGATCAGCTGCGGGCGAGCTGTGGGACGAAATTAACGAATTTAGGGGGGGTCACGATTCAAAGAAATGGATGGAAGGGGAAGATTATGATTACACTCCGGGAGGTGGCCGATCTCTTTGATATTTTCCTCTTCTGCGGTAGACCTATCCTTCTTTTTCTTGTAGGTCAGCAGAGGTCAATCTTCATCTCGTCAACAGAATTTCTGCAGAATGAATCACGATTTCCCGCTTGGAATAAAATTTCAATTCTTAAATTTTATCCTATTCTGCTGATATAATTTTCCTAACAACTCTCAAATTATTTCTAATAATTATCTAATCCAGAGTCATTGAGCTATTGAAATTGAAAATTACTTCGATAATTTTAAAATAATTTCTAAAGCGCAGGACTGATTTTGAAAAATACGTGCATTCTAGACTATTTCATAACTATATTTGCTGTTCGATTAATTATCAAATCGTCTTGATATTAGCTGTCGTTTGCTAAGACATTTGTGTAACGAAGAGAAGGCCACCGACGAATACCGCGACAAGCTGTTATCACTCTTCTTCTCTGTGTTGGTGAAACTCATGGAGGGGCGCAATAAAGATGATAGCGCGACTATATATAAGCCTGCGCATCCGTCATCGCCATCAGTTCGATATTCCTCATGTTTCGTTTTGTTAGTAGCGTTCTTACAATATTTCAAGCAGACTCCTTATCTTGACTCCGTTCGAGAAGATTATTTTGAAAAAAAGTGCAATAAATAAACAACTGATACGTAGCTTCCAACGTGTTATAAAGAGGGCAATCAAGCCAACTACAACTCAATCGGCAAAAGTTCATCGAGCTCTGACTGCTGTTCTTTTCTTCTTCGTCTTCTTCTTCATCTACGACACGTCATCTTCTAGAGAGAGATCGTTGCTGTTGAGTAAACGGCAAGCGATCAGGAAAAATGGGATTCTCTTAGCATCCATCGAATCGTTTGTGGTCCACTAAATAAAACGAGCTTCTGATCTCCTCTTCAGCTACTGTCGAGCCTTATTAAACGTGTCAAAATAAAACGTGCGGGAACTGTCTACGGAAGCGCGACGGCAGTGTTTTATGATTCATTCGTTACGGTTGTCCAGCCCAGTTATGTTCTCGATCAAGTACAGCAAGCAATTTCTGAGCTATCGTATACTCAAGTCCAACCGGTTCAAGTATATCTGACGATACGGACTCGGACTACGTAGAAAGTGCGTGCAAGGTGGTGTGTGTGTATTATACCGCGGACGGCTTGTCGTACCTACGGTGCTCAGAAAGATAGGGAAAGAAAGGGTCGTGTCCCTCGGCAAGACCTGGAAAGTCTTGTATCCAAGTCCGATGGCCGGATCGCTTTTTGCAGCGACGCGAGCTTGAGGAAGTGTGACGGTGACAACGACGTGGCAGACCCGGTGTCTTCGAAACTCGCTAGTGGAGCGAATCTTTCGAGGGCAAAGGGTGATTTTTTGGAAGAAAAAAAATTGAATTGCTAACGATGTATGTGATTTCATTGCCGAGGAGATTTTGATCGGGAAGTAGAGTATTAAAATTTGGAAAACACAGACGTGTGCGAGAGAAAAAACACAAGAGCAGAAAAAATCAAAAATTGATAAAAAAATTTTGAAGAAGATAATTAAAATTATAATCGAGATTAAAATTTTGTCAGACCGGCTTATGAGAAAAGGGTGAACGTGGTAGCTAATGATTTTCTTGTTAAGATAATTTTTGAACGGGAAATTAATAAGTCAATAAAGATAACGGAGAGAATAGTCATTAGCGGTGCACATTGTGAGTATATACGAGAAAATTGCGAAGAGGCTCGGACAGCGAATTTATCTAGAGTAACGACATTGCTCGATGCTCTTATACATCAGCTCGTGAAAGATCATTAGAACTGAGGATCGAGCGGCAGGATCAGAGTAAGAGCGGAAAGCACTCGGAAATTCCTTCGAGAGAGCATAGACACTGATTTTTCACGACAGTTACGTTCTTATGTAAAATACGCACGCAGAACATCGGGCCTGCATAAAACGCGAATTAAAGGGAATCGCTAATTAAAAGCGAGCGAAATCTGCAAGTCTTTGGCGAATCGGCGAAAATAAAATCGCGGGGAGTAAAAAAAAATGATTAAAAAAATGATCGTTTATGTCCCGGGCAGAATGCCAACTCACGTTGGTCCCTACGGCGCCGCTCGTTACCCGGGCACCCTGCTAGGAGCTGCCCCGGGTTTTTACAGCTCGGTTTCCGGCTACACCACCAGCCCGGGCCCGAGCTACTACGGGAGCTTCAGCGTCCAGCATCAACCAGCGTCGCTGGATCTTCCGATTTGGCCGCGAAAAATGCCGGCCGAGGAGGAATTGGGAACCTCACCGGCCGTCGGGGTGTCTCCGGGCACCCTTGGCAACGGTGGTCCTCCGAGTCCCGCGCACAGCGACTCGGACGCGTCCAGCTCGAGCTTGGAACTCGGCACGATCAGGACCGGCGAGAACGCCCAATTAAAGTGCAGGTAAGAAAAAGAATAGAGGAAAGAACATTATACAGGCCGTATCTAAATAAGTGCGACAAATTTTAGGAGATAATTCTTTGTCGACGAGTTAAGAGGAGTTTCTTCTATGTATAAACATATTATATTCTTGTGTATATCCCTCCGTCAGGAGATACACTTTTCCAAAGAGGGAGGTAAAAAATTTTTTTTATGTTTTTTAAATATTAATGAATATCCTTTCTGTCTGAAATTTGAGAGAAAAAAATAAAAACTCAGAAAGGGATATAAAGTATATGTATATGTTTATATGTTATATAAGGAACTGTCCTTAATTTTCGACAAAGAATCATCTCTTAAAATTTTTCGCACTTATTTATACATTCTGTACATATTAAATTCTTGTCACACTTGTTTCATTAGATTCATTCTAATTATAAATGACGCAGGATCTTGTGCAATAACAAAATAGCATAAAAAATTGAGATGTAGTAATTGAGAATTGGATGAATTATTTAAAATACCTCCAAGACAAAAATCTCACTGGATTAATTCGAGCATAATTTTTCATGAGTATTCTGGATTATATATTATTGCTAAAAGATTGACTAATTAAGATAAGACCCTGAAAGATAAGAAGCGTATGGAGAATCGTGTTATTTTGGAGAAATTCATTATCGTCGTTATATCATCGTAAAAATAGTCGATATACACACACACATTGAATTACTTTAATTGTATTAATCAAGTATTAGTTTAGAATGTGAAGATTAATTCAAAATAGATATTTTCACTTCCGAGATATAACTGACGAAATCGCGTTATCTCAATATAACACAAATTCCTTGTGTCAATATATTTATGTATATTAAATCTTAATTGACGTCGTCTTTTTTTATCTCGTAATGAGATCAATGTAATTCTGCATCTTTCCCTCTTTGTCCCTTTTATATATATATATATATATATATATATATATTTGTGAAAATTATTTTTCTTGCCTTAAATATCAATTTATATATTTCTCCTTTTTTCTTACTATGTAATTTTAATATCCTTTTATGTCCTTTCTTCTAAAACAATAAGATTATAATTTTTATCTTAAATATAAATTAAAGAATTAAGAGTCATCTTCTTAATTGAATACAATTTATTAATTGTATATTTCGGTCCTGAATTTGAAATATAGATATATTATCTTAAAAATAATATATCTATGTATTATCTTTAAAGATAATATATCATTTTCTTTATCTTTAAATATATCTATTTTCTTTAAAGATAATATATCTATTTTCTTCATCTTTAAAGATAATATGTTTGTTTTCAATATTTGCCTAAAATATTTCCAATTCCGACCAAAAATAACAATTTTCATATTAATAAATATTCAATGAAAAAGGAAACATTTATATCTTTAAAGATAACATATATCTGTTTTCTTTATTTCAATATTTGTTAGAGTTCAAATTCTTTGAACTAGTTCAAATGCAGGATCGAAGCATACGATTTTCATATTATTAAACTACATTCAATGAAGAAGAAATTGTTTTCGCATCATTTATCGTCAAGCTCTTAATTAGTCTTTTATTTTATATTCGAATGTTTTTTGTATATATATTTTTTCTATATATATGTTAAAAAAATAAATCTATATAAATAATTTTAAATAATATATCTTATATTGCGTTGTAAATTGCAGTAATGTGTTTCGCGCGTCTTATCTCTACACGGAATTATCGCATAAACCTATACTTCAAAGACAATCAAATGCGTCGTTCCGCCTCAGTTTGCAGTTTGCTATGTTGTTGCAGACGTTCGTCGTTCTCTTCTCGTTAAATAAACGCTAATCTATCTCTCGTCAATGTAGATACGCGTATCTCGCGCGCGCATACCGGTTACAACTAGTTTTCTCTATATCTGATGGTCGAAAGACTCTGCTCATTTGTATATAACCGAGAGAACTCTGAAATCCATCTTTCGAGATGTCTATTCTTTTTATTTTAGAATTGTCTTATTGCGAGATTAAGAGCTCGTTTTCTCCCTCACACGTTTTCGCGGAATTCAGATTCCCTCGATGTAATTTACTCTCGCGGGAGGATGCGCTGTATCTCTAATGATAAACAGGTTTACAACCGGCTTGGTTTATTATATCTAAGGTCTCTATGCATCTTCAAGAAAATTTTGATTCGATATAAAATAAATTGATAGCGATTGCTTTTAAATAATAAACAAAAAAAAATAATAAAATTTTGCTGAAATTCCTGAATAGTATATTTAAATATTTTTAATAAAAAAATTCGACTTTTTATCCATCAAATAATATGTATGAAATATGAAGTTCCAATTCTCATCTATATATGCTTTTATCACAAAAAAGAAACAACTATTATCAGAGTGTCTCGGAGAACTCGATTATCGTAAAGACATTTTTTCACGCGCTAAACGCGTGAATGTCGTAGCTTATCACTGAACACCATATTATAAATTTCATTCTTTAAAGTCATCAATGTTCAATCATTTATGTTAAATTTTATTCGCAGTTGTCCCTCAAAGATTTATTTTTACAAATTTTTTCAGAATATTTTGCATTCTGCCCATTTTTTAAAATTATTTCTATTCTTTTTTTTATAAATTTGTATTACAAAATTTGTATCTAACATATTTTTTTCCTTATGTAACATTTATTAATAATATATACGAGTGTTAAAGAAAAGCTAGATGTTCTACATATGTATGACATGCATTATTTTAAAATCATATTAGATAAAACACGAGGTTAATTTATAACAATCATTATAATGCATAGATGGTATATTGTAACCGCTCGTATAATTCCGGTTGCTCACGAGTAAAAAAAAAAGAAATAAAAGAGTCGCTCCGGCCAATGAAATCTCTCTCGAAATTGCCTTGATCCACGACCTCCCGTGGACATATCCGTGCCACTTAATTGGCGGAATTCGTTGTCGTTGACTGGAATAGTACCGAACCATCGTGGGTCTCTCTTACGATAAACTGGTGTCAAACGGCGGCAATTGCAAAATGGCCGCAATTGGTATCAATTGGTCGAGTCAGCAAACGCATTCGTGACGCAAATCATATTTCGATATTTCAAGCAGTCAAAAGGCTGAAGTATATTATTCGCCGCATCACTTTCGATTAGTCACGATTCGTAATTTCACGAAGATTAATTGGCGATTAAATATAAAAAAAATTATATACCTTTCAAAGGACCAAAGCTATAATATTTTTTTCTCATTTTTGCAGATGGCACGATTGTGGCCGATGGTTCACGTCCCTGGAACAACTTGCGGGACACGTTGCAAGGTTGCACGCTGCACCTGGTCCAAGGGGTCTGTTTTACTGCGGATGGGAAGGATGCGCGAGAGGCGAGCGTGGGTTTAACGCGAGGTAAAATTCCTTCAAATATATAATATTAATATTCATATATGAAAAAAGGGATATTTTTACATTTTTTATAGAAACATAAAATTCATATCTACTCTTTTCTAGGTACAAAATGCTGGTCCACGTACGCACACATACAAACGAGAAGCCGCACCACTGTTTCCAGTGTGATAAGAGCTTCAGCAGAGCAGAGAACCTGAAGATTCACGCGCGTTCTCATACCGGCGAGCGTCCCTACGTCTGCCCTGTCGAGGGTTGCAACAAAGCTTATTCGAATTCTTCGGACAGATTTAAGCACACCAGGACTCATGCGGTGGACAAACCATATTGCTGCAAAGTACCCGGTTGTTCGAAAAGGTACACCGATCCGTCGTCTTTAAGAAAACACGTGAAAACTTATCGCCATTACGTGAACAACAACGACAAGGTTCAGGAGAAGAGTTTCGACGACAGTAACGTTCAAGAAAAAACAAGGTTCGACATTAACTCGCCCGATAAACAGAGCAGTAGTACCTATTCCGAGTCAGACAAGAAGAATTCGAGCATTGAGAGCAGCATATCGGGTTCTAGTCCCAAGACCAGTAACAGCTTCGAGGAGCAGAGGAACTTCGTCGAGTGGAATAACATGTACAATCTTCAGGAACAGCGGAAGGAACCGGAACAGGTCACTCCGCCGAAGCCGTACGAGCAGGACGTGAAGATCTATCCAAGGATGTACGATGACAGTTACATTATACCGGATAGGATCCAAGTGAATCCCATGTACGCTTCTGGTAGCACCATCATCAAGGATTGCTCCGCGATGTCGTCGCCTCACACGAGTCCCGGTCGAGTGTCGGATTCCATCCCTCGCATCGGAATGCAATCGACGCCCATCAAGACCGAAGAACCCATGGAGTGCAGCGTCACCAAGACCTCTACGGTCGACTACAGGAACATCGAGTCGATCGTCAACAGTACACCTTGCAAGAAGGAAAATACGATCAACTGCGACCCAGTGAGACACTCGGTGATCAAACGGGCGGAAGATCTGAAGATGGAAATTGAACAGACCCCGAAGGAGAAGCTCAAGGACATGAGTGGCGGTGACTGCGGTTGTTGTCGGCACAAATGTTGCATGCACAGCAATGACAGCATCCTACGAAAGACGAAGATCCTCTCGGATCTTATTCTCAAGTCCCACAGCCCGGTCTTTCGACATCTGTTGGATTCGATGGATTTGCGATACGGATTGGAGAACGTGTGGGGCAACATTGTGGATACCGCCAACACGTGCGGCCAAGATCTCCGAGTGAAGAACGAAAACGTCACCGAGATGGAGCAAGATCTGCCTCTGGACCTGACGATCAACAAATAATAAACGATAGGTTTTGACAACATACCAAAAAGTCTCATAGTCCCTCTCTCTTGTCAGTACGAATTATTTTTATTATGTACGACAAAATACGAATTAATTGAAACGTTGCAAATTTCAGCCGCGCAACGAATCGATATCGTAATACGTAATTCACACACAATCAGTAAAGGAACGAGATTAATCTATATTGAAATTGAATTCGATCAGACTGCGAAACCAAATATGATTTTGTAATACTTCGTGTTTAATACTTGTGTTTAATAATTAATATTTAGTACTCTGTAATGAGAGTTGACAAGATAAAAGCAGTTGAAGATTGAACAAAAATTTGCTCAAGCCGTTTAAGCAGATGTTCATCAACAAAATGTTAATCAGGCATAATCAAATAACTTAACAATTTTTATTACATATTATATATTATATATAATATAATATATAATATATAATAGGATATATAATATTATATAATATATAATATGTATATTAAAATATATAATATTATATAATATATAATATAATATATTACATTATATAATTTTATATTATATAATTGATTAATCAGTTTTTTAATAAATTTAATCAACATTTTAAAGGTGATGTTCCTAGTTTATCGGAATCGGTAGTCTAATAAAATCGCATAATTGATACAATAATAAAGATAAGCTGGGAACTCGTTATATGGCTGTAAATATATTTGAAATAATTTGTTTCCATTCAATCATTCGTTTGTTAAGATTGAAGTCTAAAACTTATATTTTTCTTACCTGATAAAGCGCTTATATAAAACAAATCATATTTCAACACTTTATGTAAACAAAATGTATGTGTATCATATGTATATAGAAATTTATATATATGTGTATGGAGAGTCACACACACACAATTAAAAAGCGAAGTGAATTGAGAGGAAAAAGTGCTTTCCTTCCTCTCCTATAAATAGTACATGTTTTATGATGTGAATTATTTCAATAAAAAAAGTACATTATTTATATGTCTATACATGTGTATCCGCACTGTCTTCCCATGAGGTTAACTATTTACGTAATCAATTATTTTTCTTATTAATGTTATTATAATACATACATACATACATATATATATATATATATATTTTGAATTATATTTTATTTTTTATTAAGATTAACAAAATTTTTTTAATTAGTTTACTGAGACTAATAAAATATGTTTGTAAAGAAGAGATTCTATCGATAAAACAATATTATTTTGATTATTTTTATAAAATTGAGATAAAAATTTATAAAATTAAGAAATAGACCTGCTCAACAGATAATAGAGCTTTTCTATATATAGATATAATTTCATTCTGCACAGAAAAAAATTTATAATACTCTTTTAAAACTATAATTTATAATTTCATAATATAATATATCGTGTAATATAAAACACGTTGAATATGTTATTCATATTTTATCAGAGTTATATACCGATAGCTTTGTTCAACAATATATTCATACAATTTCAGAACAAAATATCAATTAATAACTTTAAAATAATGTTTTATATCAAAACATCCAGTTCGACATTCAATGAAAATATCGTGCTAATAAGTATCTATAATCAAAATGATAGAATTAAAAAATTCTATAAGAATTCTATACAACAGCATAGATTCTGACAAAAGTTTCAATTAAAAAAATTCACTACAATACTTAGTGAAATTGTACCAATTTTTATCAGTTCTAATCATTATCACACTCACACAAATCTATATATTAAATTTTTAAAATTATACATTACATTTTTGAGACAGGATTTGCGCGTGTTATTTACATATTTTTTATATTTATGTGCTTTCTGTTCTTCATCAAACACTATAAAATAATCAAATATACTAAATACAATTTTACGAAAAATAAATAAAATATGTTTATTCTAGTAAAAGACTACTTTCATATTTCTATGCGTTTTCAATATGTCTTTTCGTGAAAATTGAAGAATATTATAAGATATATACAGAAGATAACTATATTACTGCTACGAAAAAATTTAAATAGAATACATTTTCAGACAGGCTTTATGCACGTGCTCTTTTATATGTTTACGTGCTTCCCGTCCTTAATCAGACACTACAAGAAAAATCAAATAACTAAATAATATTTTACTAAAATACAATTTTACGAAAAAAAATAAAATATGTTTATCTTAATAAAAGACTACTTTAATGGTTCTATGCGTCTTCAGTCTGTATTTTCGTGAAACGTCAAGAAAATTATAAGATTTAGAAGATAACTATACTACTGCTACGAAAAAAATTAAATAGAATACATTTCTAGACAGGACTTGCACGTGCTCTTTTATATATTTACGTGCATCCCGTCTATCATCAAACACTACAGAAAAAAATAAAATATGCTAAATACTATTTTACTAAAATACAATTATATGAAAAATAAATTAAATATGTTTATCTTAATAAAAGACTACTTTAATGGTTCTATGCGTTTTCAGTCTGTCTTTTCGTGAAACGTCAATAATATTATAAGATACAGAAGATATAACTATACTACTGCTACGAAAAAAATAAAATAGAATACATTTCTAGACAGGACTTGCACGTGCTCTTTTATATATTTACGTGCTTCCCGTCTATCATCAAACACTACAGAAAAAAATAAAATATGCTAAATACTATTTTACTAAAATACAATTATACGAAAAATAAATAAATATGTTTATCTTAATAAAAGACTACTTTAATGGTTCTATGCGTTTTCAGTCTGTCTTTTCGTGAAACGTCAAGAATATTATAAGATACAGAAGATATAACTATACTACTGCTACGAAAAAAATAAAATAGAATACATTTCTAGACAGGACTTGCACGTGCTCTTTTATATATTTACGTGCTTCCCGTCTATCATCAAACACTACAGAAAAAAATAAAATATGCTAAATACTATTTTACTAAAATACAATTTTACGAAAAATAAATTAAATATGTTTATCTTAATAAAAGACTACTTTAATGGTTCTATGCGTTTTCAGTCTGTCTTTTCGTGAAACGTCAAGAATATTATAAGATACAGAAGATATAACTATACTACTGCTACGAAAAAAATAAAATAGAATACATTTCTAGACAGGACTTGCACGTGCTCTTTTATATATTTACGTGCTTCCCGTCTATCATCAAACACTACAGAAAAAAATAAAATATACTAAATACTATTTTCTAAAATACAATTATACGAAAAATAAATTAAATATGTTTATCTTAATAACAGACTACTTTAATGGTTCTATGCGTTTTCAGTCTGTCTTTTCGTGAAACGTCAATAATATTATAAGATACAGAAGATATAACTATACTACTGCTACGAAAAAAATAAAATAGAATACATTTCTAGACAGGACTTGCACGTGCTCTTTTATATATTTACGTGCTTCCCGTCTATCATCAAACACTACAGAAAAAAATAAAATATGCTAAATACTATTTTACTAAAATACAATTTACGAAAAATAAATAAAATATGTTTATCTTAATAAAAGACTACTTTAATGGTTCTATGCGTCTTCAGTCTGTCTTTTCGTGAAACGTCAAGAATATTATAAGATACAGAAGATAACTATACTACTGCTACGAAAAAAATAAAATAGAATACATTTCTAGACAGGACTTGCACGTGCTCTTTTATATATTTACGTGCTTCCCGTCTATCATCAAACACTACAGAAAAAAATAAAATATGCTAAATACTATTTTACTAAAATACAATTATACGAAAAATAAATTAAATATGTTTATCTTAATAAAAGACTACTTTAATGGTTCTATGCGTCTTCAGTCTGTCTTTTCGTGAAACGTCAAGAATATTATAAGATACAGAAGATATAACTATACTACTGCTACGAAAAAAATAAAATAGAATACATTTCTAGACAGGACTTGCACGTGCTCTTTTATATATTTACGTGCTTCCCGTCTATCATCAAACACTACAGAAAAAAATAAAATATGCTAAATACTATTTTACTAAAATACAATTATACGAAAAATAAATTAAATATGTTTATCTTAATAAAAGACTACTTTAATGGTTCTATGCGTCTTCAGTCTGTCTTTTCGTGAAACGTCAAGAATATTATAAGATACAGAAGATATAACTATACTACTGCTACGAAAAAAATAATATAGAATACATTTCTAGACAGGACTTGCACGTGCTCTTTTATATATTTACGTGCTTCCCGTCTATCATCAAACACTACAGAAAAAAATAAAATATGCTAAATACTATTTAACTAAAATACAATTACACGAAAAATAAATTAAATATGTTTATCTTAATAAAAGACTACTTTAATGGTTCTATGCGTCTTCAGTCTGTCTTTTCGTGAAACGTCAAGAATATTATAAGATACAGAAGATATAACTATACTACTGCTACGAAAAAAATAAATAGAATACATTTCTAGACAGGACTTGCACGTGCTCTTTTATATATTTACGTGCTTCCCGTCTATCATCAAACACTACAGAAAAAAATAAAATATGCTAAATACTATTTTACTAAAATACAATTATACGAAAAATAAATTAAATATGTTTATCTTAATAAAAGACTACTTTAATGGTTCTATGCGTCTTCAGTCTGTATTTTCGTGAAACGTCAAGAATATTATAAGATACAGAAGATATAACTATACTACTGCTACGAAAAAAATAAAATAGAATACATTTCTAGACAGGACTTGCACGTGCTCTTTTATATATTTACGTGCTTCCCGTCTATCATCAAACACTACAGAAAAAAATAAAATATGCTAAATACTATTTTACTAAAATACAATTATACGAAAAATAAATTAAATATGTTTATCTTAATAAAAGACTACTTTAATGGTTCTATGCGTCTTCAGTCTGTCTTTTCGTGAAACGTCAAGAATATTATAAGATACAGAAGATATAACTATACTACTGCTACGAAAAAAATAAATAGAATACATTTCTAGACAGGACTTGCACGTGCTCTTTTATATATTTACGTGCTTCCCGTC